GACAAATTCCGAAGCGGGAAGTGTTTATTAGAGATACATTCAGCGTTTATTCAATACCGCTGGCATACTATACACGAATATCGTACGGATGCTATTGTTGAGGATCGGATCGCGATGTTTACGGAAAAAATTTTTTCTTGTTTTGGGTCAAGGAATCCGCTGAAACTTTTCGCGATGAATACATAATCGGTTGTTTACAAACGAGAAAAACGAGATGAATATTAATCATTTGCGACGATGTGGACTGAATTGAGTTTACGCGATTATACCGTATACCCTCGAAAAACGTAGCAGTAATTTTCTACGAGATTTGGCGTCGAAGTAGAGTCGAGGTAAAACAGAAATTAATGTCAGAGGGTCAAGAACGTCTTACTTCTTGGCTATCCCCATCGATGGCCCGTGGAATGCCAGGCATCCGCTGATTGAATCCGGAGGAAAGGGCTTTCCACGGGTTGCGCACGGTTTGATAAATGTTGTCCGTCTCTCGCGATATGCCGGATAATATCTGTAAGGATCTGACGGTGAACACACAGAAGGATAGGACGCCCGGCGCCCTTTTTGCCCGGCGACGGCATCGTTTGTAATTCGAGTCCAACGCCCTGCGATTCCGCCCTTTCGCGCGGAAGGAACCGGAGTTTCGACGCTTGTACCACGTCAGCGGGGAATCTCCCGGTATAATTTATGGTCTCGCCGCATCGCCGAATTAAGTCTCCCATTTTTTCTCTCCTCCCTTACGTTTGTTTGAATTAGATCGCGTTCTCTCACTGAATTGACGCGCATCGTGAGCTCGTATAGTTCTTCCTCTGACTCGTATAATTGAATAATTTAACGGACTTCAGGCTTCGAAGGCCGTTTGTTCGGTTGTAGATGGTACCATTATTGACACAACACTTCAGAAAACACTGTTTTACAATTGCAATGGGAAGGATTCCTTTCAAGATCACGTTGCGTCTGCAACGAGGACACTCGTTACGAGAGTCGCGGAACCCCTTTCGCCTCGAATGTCACGGTCCTAAGGGTGGAATTTTCACTCCCGGACTCGCAGAAGCGCGCACTCTGGATCATGTTACGAACCCTCCACGCGGATCCAGGTCGTTTATTATTTCGACTTGGTCGAAATATCTACGAGGAAGCGATCCCCTCGAGAGATACATACGCGCGCGGAGAGAAAACGCTTCGCCTTCCTTTACGAAATTAATTTTGTGTACAGAATTAACAAACGAAGTCTCTAACAATCGAGTCGGTGTCAGCTGGCGTATTTTGTTTTTTTTTTTAACCAGGGCCAACCGTTTAATTCCGATACTGCGAATTATTTCATCGTTACCTCCTGAGAATTTATCGTATGCAAAGTAGACTGAAATTTTTTTGACGGTGATTAAAATTTTCATTTCAATCAACGTCCCTAAAATATTTTCGTCTCATGGATGCCTGGTTGTTATATGAATGTAATAGTGTGTCGATCGGTATTACGACGTTCGGGCTTCCCGTTACTCGATAACGGGATAAACGCGCGAATAATTGGGGATTCGCGATTTAGGGTAAAAAAAAAGTGTTTACACGCCGCGACATGCGACGACGCGTCGTGATAAAAATTCATTGGCGTATGTGAATGCTGGAACGCCGATGGCACGTGCATCGTTTATTAAAAAAGCTGTTGGACGGCCGCCCCGGATCGAAGAGCGCGGGGACATACCTTCGCCATTTTACAGAGGCCCTTTGTCGTGCCGAAATTACAATTGCTATCGTCATTATCGGATGCGTTATGCGCACGATGCGTTTGGTGGACGTGGAAATCCCTCCCCATTGTTTGTCGCGCGTCCCGTTTTGATCGAAAACGTCAAAGCGGCCGAAAAAACATACGTCTCCCCGGAATGCCGATCGGAAAAATATGACCGAGAGACAGGATCCCAGGGGGGAAGGGTGGAGGAGAGAGGGTGACGGGAACACAGGGGGATGCATTATCGGATACAACGCGTTGCCTCAACGCGTTAGATCCGCGAGACGGCGAGCGAATTCCGCCACGAGGATCCGCGAGCGCGAACCGATTTCGCGAAATGATCTAGAATCCTCCGGTGGCCCCCGCTCTCTCGGCCTTCGGAAACCTCGCCGCCTCTTAATGAACTCCCGCTGTTCGCGGCGGCCGTTTCTGAACGGTCGGATAGGGAATCCCCGCGGAGTCCATCATTACCGACTCAAAATTAAAGCTAAAGATACAGAAGGGTGCGCGCGCTTTCATTTTCGGCGCGGCTTATTAGTTTCGCGGCGCGCAAAGCGTGGGCGAGCCCGCGCGGGATTACGATTCACCACGAGAGCCGTCCCGGCCGCCGATTATTTATCGACGAATTAATAATTGCGACGACGCACAACCGAATTTAATATAAACGTTTCAGCTTCACCCCCCTCCTTGGCTAACGAGGCTGTAATTTCGACTGGTGGATACCGGCGCCTCGTTATTCCTCGTCGAGAAAACGGCTCTTCCCCGCGCGCCCGGCTGAGGCAGCGGCCCACTAATTATTCGTCGAGATCCGTGAGCGTATAGAAGCCGTATTACGCGCGCATAATGAAACCCGTATTAACGTATTCGCGCATACGCGAATACGCGCGGGCGCACCTATATATACACGCGGATACGCACGGCGCGGACGCCGCGGCGCCGCCGCCACCGCCGCCGCGCCGTAACCGTAGCCGTGTAGACACGGAGGAGAGCGCCGCGACGTCGAACGTAATATTCGACTAATTACAAATTTAATAACCTCGGTTCGTTGCCGGTTATTGCGAGGCCGCGACGTCTAAATGAATCGACTCTGCAGTGCGCTCTTGCGCGCTCCGTCTCCCTCCCGTTCACCCCTTCGCTCCTTCGCCTTTTTCCTGACGTTCCCACCCCATTTGCCATTTCGCTTCTGCAGATTATCGACGACTCCGTCGTCGTCGATAGAGAGTGGGATACAGATCGCGTGAAAGGTACGGGACCAAGTTTTACCGTCGGTTGCCTCTGTGTCTTAATGGACTCGTATTACCAATTAAAATTTAATCATCATCGAAATTAATTCATTACGCTATTCGAACGTTCAATGGCGATGTCTTGTCGAGCCATTATTATGCTCAATGGGGAACTCTCCATACTTTTCTCCCGCTTTTCTATTACTTTTATATTATACGATTAGATTTCTGTAATATCCACGCTGCTGGCCATTTCAATCACAAGGGCGAAATACTCTTCTTGACTCCTCCTAGTCAGGGAATCTTTACATTTTGCGGCCTGCGAGGTGCGCACATAAAGGCTCTCTCCGTTTCCCTTAACACTGCCGTAACTTATCGCTCGTAGACACAGTATTTCTCTCCGGCTCTTTGAAAGCATTTTCTCATTAAAAAATTAAGGGTAGGGAGGGGGCCGGAGGCAAGCGGGGGGGGCGAAAAGGAGCGAAGCGGTTGCAGAGGGACGGGCGGGAGTGATGGAGGGTGAGGGGGACCGGAGTTCGCGGTGCAGAAACGAAGCGTGGGTCTGAGACAGGAGGGTTTTGTGGCGGCGGGCAGGGGCGGGTATCGGGGGTGGACGGAGGGGTCGGTAAGTGCTCTGCGGCTCCCAGATGCGCCCAATATTATGTTTAATGATATTAACTTCTTACTTAATGGTCCGCGGTTCGATTCGAGGTGCGAAAGAGTCGCTCCCTCTCCCTCTTCCGAACCGCAGCTCCCAACCGAAGCCGGAAAAAGTATACCTCGGGGAATAATTTGGCAAGTCGAGTGCGGAAAGAGTGAAAAAATGAAAGAGTCAAGAGATGCGTGGGAAAGAGAAAGAGAAAGAAAGACAAAAGGGGACTGCAAAGAGGATGAGAGAAGAGAAACGGATACTGCAGTGCGGTGAAAGAACCTAATCACTTGGGGAACACGTCCATTTGCCTCTCTTCTCTCCCCCCCCTCTCTCTGTCTCTCTCTTCCTCTTCTTGCAAAATAAATCTGCGACTACGCGGATGACCTCCGCCATAAACTTCGTGATAAAAGCCGCGGCATCGGCGGGCACATTCCCCTTTTTCTGCGGCAGTGCTGCCGAGGGTCGCTCTCGCCCTCAACTCTTTACGCGCGATTAAAGAATCTGTCCCTTGGCCAAAGTGCTTGTACTACGGAACTTTTGTCACTCGAAAATTATTTTCTTTCTGCCGCGAGATAATATTATCTCGAAGAAGCAACCTCATTAATTATATCGCTTCTTCGCGACGGTGTTAATAATTCCTAATTGTTCTATCAACCGCGATCTGTGAGAAATCAAAGATCAATTATGCCTTTACGTGGTTGGAGGAACAACGTTAAAATGTAATTTTGTACGAAGCTTTTATCTTACTCGTTTCCCACGGCTTTACGATGGGAACTGCTCGATTCCGCAATCCTCGCTCGCTTCTTAATGCGAATCGCAACGTCGAGACAGAAATCTAAATGATAAGCCACGATGGAACCCGGAGGCCGGAGGCACAAGTGCCAAACAATACAAAGCTGAGATTAAAAGTTTCTTGTGACGCGAGAACGAAAAACCGTGGTGCCGCATTAACGAGTGAGGATCTCATAAAAACAGGGATGTGCCCGAGGAAATCGAAATAAAATATGAAAAAAGGAGCGCATATCCTTTTTAGAAATTCGTTTTTCACTCGTCATATAGGCTCTGCTCTTAGAATATCTTTTGAATGCATTTGATTAATTTATCGTTGGCGGCATAAAGTGTGATTCTTCTTCGTGGCGTTGTCGTAGTGGGTTAAACAAATGCGAGATGTGTGTCGCGACGGACAAGGCGATTAAGGACGATAATGCGCGGTGTACAATGATACGACGAGGACCGTCACCGGTGTGAGACCGGTACTTATCTTCCTACGCGGATCCCTTGCCCAGCGACTAGAATAATTATTTAATTAATACCCTACGTAGCGGCGGAGTCCACCTCCGCGCTCGGTCGATTTAAATCCCTCAGATTAATACGAAACCTTTCTTTTCTCTCTTCTTCTTTGTTGCAGGCTCCGCGAGGAGAGGGGCGACGCCGAGAGAGCGCTGGCTTTGGACCACAAACCCAGGGACCTCAGCTCGCACAATGGTAAGATCACACAAGAATGCACGTGTATGCTCGATATCTTAAGTTTATTCATTAATTCTAAAAACGAATTAAAAACATTGCATAAAAAATAATACATAAAGACTTATAGTGATTTGCAATTTCCTACACTGAGAAAAAAAAGTGTTAAATCAAATGAATATTTCTTGATAAGTAACTATACTCTGTGATCACGGGCTGTCAAATATTTTGTTAATTCAACAAAATACTTGTTGACTCACAAAAATATTGTGTTAATATTATTGATGTATGTTTAATTCAAAAACATATATAATTGAATCAAAGACAAACTGTCAATAAAACGCATTTAATTGTTTCAACAATTTTTTTTTTCATTGTATTGATTAACAATTTGATGTGTATATCTATTTGCAATTATTAATCAACGATCAATCGAAAATGTTTTTCGATTATGTTATTCGATATGTAACATAAAAAATATTTTCATTTCTAAAAGGATGTTGTGAGTTACGCCGTGTTGTGGGCATTACAGTTTCTAATGTTATTTCTCGTATTCCTACCTGCCTGTTGTAGCGCCTGTCACATGGATTAAGTGTGTAACGCGAGATCCTTAATCGTCAGAGTGTTCCCTCCGGGAAACACGTACGGTCGATCGATGCGGACTCGAAGTCAAGCGGCGCAGAAAGATTTTTGACCGCGACATGGCGCGGCGCGGCGGTCCGAGAGTCCGCGCGCGTATTCGTTCTTTTCTGTATTTCTACCTTTTCGTTCTTCCCCTTCTGCCCCGTGTGTGTGTGTATGTGCGTGCGTATGCATCCGCGAAGCGGTCGAACGACGAACGTTTCGGGCGTTTAGGATCCCGGAGATTAAGTCCGATATCGGGTTACGTCCTGACCGCCGCGCTGCGGCCCCACATCTCCTTCTGATTCCCTATAATATTATAATCCGTCTGATGGAACTCTTTATCTTCCGCGACGGGCCCACCTCCGCCCGGGACACGTTTTCGACTTCCACCTACGTTTCGTATTTTTTGAACCTGTCAAATAATGTCCGTGCCGCACACGCGTACGAAGATCGATCGTATTTGCATATTTTAGTGCGCACGCAATTAGATTTGTGGCAATCAAAATCACATTTCACGCAAGAGAGAGCGAGAGAAAGAGAGACCCTCGATCGCGTGTGGGTTTTCGACTGGGACTCGCAGAGCCTTCAACGGCGGCCGGCGTATATGGAAGTCAATTTAACGTAAAAGATGTACGATTCATTAGATCGCGCCGGGGAAGAGCGCCGAGAAAACCGCGACCCTTCTCTTTCAATGGCCAACGAGGTACATGGTGCTCCGGCGCGGCGCGCGTATACGTGTGCGAACGCGGCAGAGGAGGCGCGCTGGTCCCTCGTACTATACGTACGAGATATCCGTTCCGAGTACTCGTGAGATCACGAGTGGCCCCGAAGCAATGCGTCAGCGCCGACGACCGTTGCCCAAACAGTATCTATCTATGTCAGGATTAAAATACTAGGATATCAAATACGCGCGCGAGCGCGCTTAGACGGACGGAGCAAGGAAAAAGGGATGCGGAAAGAGAAAGAGGTGGTCGGGACGGGTGGGCGGTCGAGGGAGAGAGATAGGGAGGGGACGGGGAACGGGGGATTCGAGGGAGTGGATAGTCCGCTTGTTCTCGTCTAAACGGGGGATGCGCGGCGGTAAATAAAATCCATCAACTTGTCAGTCCGGTCGATGGACGCGCTTCTCGTTCTTCGTAACCGAACGTTCTCCGGGAAAGATTGACGCCAGCTTTCCAGCGTTATCGTGCCGAGTGGATACACGGTTGCGTTGTCAATCCGACATACAACATACACAAAAGAGATATACCTTTACGTATAACACGATAGGCATGCGAGTATATGAATTGTAATCCCTAATTGATTTTCTCGCAATGTCCGTGCGTTTTCAGGCTCCTCCAACGGTCACAGCCCGGTTCTAAATCTCTCAAAAACGGCGGGAAGCGGAAGCGTGGGCGAGCAGTCCGGAAGCGAGGCAGGCGCGTCGCATCGTTCTCAAGACGACGAGGAGGAGGACGATAATCTGTCGGAGGACCTCGAGGACGACAATGAGAAGGACGAAGGTATGTTTCTGATGCGTGCGAGAGGCGAGGTTGAACCGCGAGTGACAGCTAGGAAGGATCTGCGGAGTTGTCGGCCATTTATATCTCTGATAAAGCGATCGGCTCGAAAGAGATCGTTCCCCTGGCAATCAATTAAAGCCGAGCGATAAAATGTGTTCTTTCGCTTTTAACGTTCGACGAATGTCAAAAGGACGATTTTGATTTGAAAGGGAGAGAGAGAGAGGGAGAGAGGGAGGGAGAGAGACGAAGAGAAAGGATTCGTGCTCGTGAAATAATTATATCGATTTTGCCGGACACGCCGCGTTTAAAGACGAGTTCTTCTAGACGACTGGCGGGTCAGGGCCTCTCATCCATCATCTCTACCGAGAGAACGCGGGGGACGCTTCGGGATTCGTCTTCCATCGCGCTCTGAGAAACGCGCCGCAGCGGTTGCCAAGTCGCATGTAGATCCGAACGTTTTTAATTGCCTCGAGTTTAGCGAAAGAACAACATTTCGTATATACAGATACTAAATGTAATTATTGCTTCGCAACTGCAGATCTATCGAACGCATTGTGTGCTGCTTCACGACATCGAATAGTCTTATTTCCATATCGGCGGAGTATTCATCAAAACACGCGGCACCCACGTGAGAAGCGTCACTGTCCGGGCAAAGCGATCATTAGACTCGTATCTTCGGTATTTAGTTTCATTTTTCTAATGAAAGATGGATCGAGAGATCGAATCTCCGTCTGAGCTTTGCTCACCGCTATCCCTGTGCCTTGTTTCGGCGCTCCGGATTCACCGAAGCGTCATAATCGTTTTGATTTCTAATCTACTCGACCATTGTCGCACCGGCATGTTAATTGGCCGGTCCAATTAATGGGGCCCCGAGGACTGCTCGTAAAGTCGCCATATCCACCACGTGAGGATCAATTCCACATCACGAATGCGTTTCCTACGAAAACGAAAAGCAAAACGGGAAGATGCGTTTGATCATCTCGCGTTGTCTTAATTAATTTCGTTTCCTTCGGGTTGCGATTTAATGCGACCGAGGGTCGGAGTCGTTAGGAGAAAGCGCGCCTCGCGCGATCACGAGTGATTTACGGACGAATCGAGACACGGCGGGTCTCGACGGGGGCGACGATATCGAGCCGTAAAAATTCGTGGCAATCATAAGATTATTCGCGGCCTTCGCGCCGCCAGAGGCTGGCTGGAAAACGCCGGGGACCCAAGTGCGTCCGCAAAATTAGGGGATCCCGCATGTACCCCCGAATTAGTGGGCCCCGTAAATTCCACGAAATACGCGAGTTAGACGTATAAATTTCGGGCGCGAGCCGTGTACGACGAGAGAAGAGGGGAGGCAGGGAAGAAAGGAGGGGGGATCAAATCCGTGTCTCGCAGCGTGTCGTACGCAATACATGCAGGGTACATCCTACCCCGCGATGCTCGCCCATGGTGATCGAAGTAGAACCACGTCGAACGCCCATGGGAGTGTACACGTTTGTGGAATGCAGTTCTGATTTAATGAGACGCGCGCGCCACTATCTCTCGCTCTCGTTCTCGGAATTGGTTTCACCGCGATTCGTCGTCGATCTCGCCGAATCCTTCGGGATCATTTTCGATTATCATGCTCGTTCGCTTCATCCAGAGATATGATTTTTTTTTTCACGTCACGGACTAGCTTATACGCGAGCTATAAATGCACGCATTTGATAATTTTCTTGTCGTTTTTTCTGATTCGGTGGTCGTTCTTCCTGCGTTCTCGTCGATGAGATTCGAAGGACGACGGACGAACTCATGCGCTTTCGCGGCGAGAAGATTCCCAGAGAATGGTGACTCTTGTCCTGATAATTGTAATGGGTAGGAAGATATAGGCGCGCGGAATAATGCTGAAAAGAAAAAAATGGGGAAAGGAACGTGCGCGATTTTAGGAGAGCGAGGGATCGAAAAGTAAGGAGAGGCGACGCGGCGCTTCCCTATCAAAAGGTGCCGGCACCGAAGGTGCGCTGAGCATTAAATCGGCCAATGGCAATAAGTAACCGATTGCCGAGTGGCGTTGTAGGTGCGCGCAGATAATTAAAAGACGATACAATAAACTACATATCGTTGGCCGTAAAGCAGCCGGGCTGCTAAAGCCCACGGTGTGGGCCGGGTACCACGAGCGATCACTTAAGCCTGGAACCCACGCAGACATCTTGTCTCACTGCCACACTCTCTCCGGGGCCCGGCGGCAATAACCATAAGGCATCCTTTATTCCGACGTTCCCGCTGAATCTCTTTCGCTGATCTCGGAGAACGATGGCCACGGATCCCTCTATAGCGCGACAGAATATCAGACGTGTGTCAATGCGTTTCGAGTAGAGCGTGTTTCCAAGAACGGCTGTCTCGAGCGATCAGCTCGGGGTGGTCCAGTTTGATTCTGGTTGTCAAAGTGACGAATAATACATGCATGTAACATTGACGATTCAGTGCAGCAAAGTTTCGAGTTTGAAATTGATTTTATCGAAAATTTTTAGCGGTGTTTTTTTTATAAGGTAATATTAAAAATACTAAAAATGTTATAATTTCACACGAACAATCATGTAAATTGTATTGTTAAGGTCATCAATATGATACTTCGTTTCCCCGCGCGGTATTTCACAGCGAGATGATACACAGTCGGTCGAGACGCGAGGAATCGTCCGAGGAACGCCGTGTAGCGTTCAATCACGGAATTTAATTCGCCCGCGTTGACATTAAATCAAAAAGTGGCGAAGGGTAACAAGTAGTCGTCGCGAGATTACGACTTCGAGACACGCACGCTGCATAAGTCTTCGCGGTCTGCCCCTCGTGCTTCGGAGTACGTTGTTCGATGTTCGTTATGGCGAATTTATCATTGACGTTTTGCTCCCGACAAACGACGTGGCGCTCTCGCCGAGAAGAAATGTTCACGCGAAAGGAGCTCCGCGCGTTGCAGAATAGACGGCATTTATTTATGGGAAGTTTCTCGGTGCCGTTCTTCCTGTCCGTCTTGTCGCCTCGAGGATTTTCCCTAACAGGAAATAACGTGGAAATTTTGCTTACAGATTTGTCGGACGTGCCGGAAAATCTGCCGTTGCCAGCACCGGGCTCGGAAAGTCCTCCCCAGGCCCTGAACTACTCGCAGATAGCCTCGGCGGCGGTCGCCGTGTCCCAGAGCGCCCAGGACCCCTCGGTCTCGAGTACGGAGACCCTGCTGAGGAATATCCAGGGCCTGCTCAAGGTCGCGGCAGACAACGCGAGGCAGCAGGAGAGGCAAATCAACTACGAGAAAGGTCAGTGGCAGGGCTTTCTTAAGACACTTGAGGGCGCTCTCCACAATTTCATTATCTTCCAGCTCTCCCAGAACCACATTAAGAGGCATTAGTCCCTGTCCCGTCGACGAGAGACCCCGCCACTCCTCCTCCTTCTCTCGTGTCCCCCTTCCCCTCTCTCCCGCTCTTTATCCAGCCTCATCTACCGCGTCGCCTCCCTCTCACGCATCAACCTTTGCGCTTGGCTTGCTTGTACCGCGTTAAGACCGTGGATACGTGAAATGAGAATGATAATAGTCGGGGAGAGCTGGACACATCCGAAAGTGAAGACCTGTAGCGTAATGACGCGATCACGAGTACCGCGCACGAATAATAGACATGAATCTTGCTTTTTAGCTTAATGTTAACTTTTAACGTGTATCTCGATATTTAATTGACGCTTTTCTCTGCAGCACAAAGTGTTTCAATATCCGCGTGTATTGAATCGTGTATAACTTAGGGTATTCGTAACGCACTATTATCACGAAATTTTCTTAAATCGAGCGTCCCTTCGAGCGGCGTCTCGAGAATGATTCGCGTAAATATTTTGCGCAAGAAGCAGCGTAAACTGCCCCAGTGAAATATTGCTCGCAAAAACATCGTCTTCGGCGTGTTAGGATTAAATTTAAGTGTCGCCGTTGCCGTAGATAGAGTTTGTACCGTAGATTGGTTACGATGAATGTAGGCAGGACCCATTAAGAACGAGTCTCTCGGCGCGGCGGCGAGATGACGTGCAGCATACGACTTCTTCTTTCTCATTAACGCGCGTGATAAATCGGCCGGCGTTATTATTAAATATGTTCGTCGCGAGATCTCGGAACGCCGCAGACGAGACGGAAGAAAATAAAAGAGGGGAAGAAAGAGGCCGGCGCGCACGGAATCGTTTCTCACGGCATCCAGGTTGCTTCGGGACTGGGGCGAACTTAACGAACATAACAGACATCTCGATGTAAATCGATAAGCCGTTTATGCGTTATCGATCGATCGTCGTTGCGATTTGTTTGCAACGACGATTGGCAGAGGATCGCGTCACGATGAAAGCGCCGATAGCGCGTAAGTGGCACAACATATGTACGCATGTATTTTCTATATATTAATATTTCCTATATATTAATATACGCTGTCATATATACGTAAGTAAATGAGTTGCCATTATAGCCATTAGTTGTTACAACTTATACGTGATAATTGTATTATCGAAGGAATATATACATATTGTTAATTGCAAAATGTAGCTGTAAGGGATTCCATGAATGTCTCGTAGATGAAATTGTGGAGAACGGAATGTACGAATAAAAAGCGCTATGTAAAACGACACGCAACGTCAAATTGATTTTAGCCGAGCGATCCCAGTTTATCGGCGTAATATTGGTAAATCACGTAAAAAAAAGCACGCTCTCGCACTGCTAGGCAATAATATTCTTATACAAAATCCTGTTCTTGGAGCAATCGTCCAATTTCGCTCGCAAACTGTCATCGATCGGCTATATCCGCTTCTGTTTTAACAACACGCCACCATCGATTATTATTGAAGTCTCGTACTTGCGTCACAGACTTTTGGCCTCGATTTAACCGCCACTTTGGAGTCCGGGATAGAAGTGTCAGTTAGAAAGTTGTAAGGTATTTTTTTTAGATGCATTTTTCTAAAATTATAATCATATTAGCGACACTTCATAGGAGATCAAACTGTGATCACATTTAGCGCCGAATGTAGTCTCGGCGAGTCTCGGATCGACTCGAAAAGACTGACCGACGTCGGGGACGTATCGCAATCCTCAGCGGGACGGGCCGGCGGACTCTCGATGTACGACGAGTGTCCCTTATCTGCGTTTTCGCAGGTTTTAAATGGCGGATCCCCATAAACGCGCCGATCCGATATCCAGCCGCGTCGAGTACCCAGGGCCACAGAGTCGCGCGTCCCAGCGGCGCGTTTAATAAATTCCGAGCGAAACGTAACCCCGGGACTTTAATTACCCATTAGCCGATACAAAGTGTCATTTTCAGGGCCGTTAACTAATGCGTTTTGCCGGCCCTAACGTTAGGAATGCCGGGCATCGCGACCTCGGCAACGGCGGCGGCGACGCTTAAGCCGCTCCTCCCCGCGGTTGCATGTGCAACTCGCCGACTTCGTAGGAGATCGGTTAGATTCTCGTCGAGGCGGGGAGATCCGATAAAAAGAAATCGACGACTCTCTCATGGCCGATGCCCCCTCGTCGCGCTCTCCACTCACCCCTCGTCACCGATTCTCACCGTTCACCGCCACCCTCGCGACTCGGCGACTTAACGAACAGTTCTCGACAACCGTGCCCTCTCCTCGCTATACGAAGTGCACGAGCACGATCCACTTGCATAATTCGTTGCTTTTCTTTTCGGCGCTCTCGACGACGTCGCGCTAACGATATCGCCGACGTGGGTTCCCGTTAAACGCGAGCGATGCAACAGGAAGAAAAATACTAACAAGCGGAAGAATATTTTAGCAATATTAATTAATAGTACAAATTTTATTTTAGTTTCTTTTTTATTATCAGTGTCGATTCAACAAAGATCCTTCAGTTGTTTTTCACGCATTTGCTGTCGTATCGGTAGTCCGATACGATGATTCATTCATCACGCAACGAGCGATTGGTGATCGCGATTGACAGATCTCTTTCCCGTTCCGCGACTCCTTGGAGTCGGCCCAGTAAACGCATGGATTTTAATAGGAAGAGACACGCTCGGTCGAGCGGCCGAGAAGCGGACTCGCGCGAGCACCGAACACGTGAACGCTAACGAGTTCATTTGGCGCACGTTGCGACGTTAAGCTCGGAATGCGCGGCGCGGCGGTTGTTGCTGGTCGGCTTAACAGATTCTGCGCGCGCGTTCGACGTGGAGATCTCCATGTAGCGCGAGTCGATCGACAGGCCGGGAAAAGGGATGGAGGTGGTGGAGGAGGAGGAGGAGGTGGAGGATAAAGGGCGTTGCGGTATAGAGAAAGGAAAGAAAAAAAAAAGAGCGGCGGCAGTCAACGACGACGACGACGACTACGGCGATCGGGGTAGCGGGCGGGGGCCGCGAGGGAAGTAGTCGGAAAGAGAGTAAGAGAGGCCCGATTTAATACTCGAACGAGCCAGCAGCTCGTTTTACACCAGATGGTTTTACATACGGCCACTATCGTGTTACGAACCTTCAGCCGTATGGGTGCATCCGTATCTCCGTCGGCACGAGATCCCGAGCGCCTTTTATACGTGCAGCGTCGCGCGCACACGCACGCGACATATACACACGCAGGCACACGCGCGCGTACCCCGCGCTTGGCCCGGTCGGTTTTAAGCCAATCCGGACGGGATGCCTTCGATGCGGAATATTATCGATATTATTCGTCTTTGTCAGACGGGGCCTCTCACGCGACCGCTCGTACAGGGAGGCCCGTGGCCCCATCGTTGCAGTCCTAAAAAGAGCGAGTCGTGACGTTCTCGCAGGCATGTCGGAGATCTGAAAGCGTTTATTTATTTTCTCTTGCTCGACTCGAGTTTCGTCAATGCGTTAATACATCGTGAGACACGTACTTAGATTTTTACGATGACGCGGAAACCCTCCGAAGATTGCGATGATCTTATTAAAACTACAACTCGGCTCGAGATCGTTAGGCAATATTTAAAACAAAATACATGTGACGGGTGTGTGATAGAATGAGAAATGTTTGAAGGCGATAACATATTTTTTAGCTAATTTTTTAGGCAAATGATTAAGACAGATTCATTAAAAATTTTTACAAATTATCAATGAGATTTAGTATTTTTCTCCACAATTTTTTCAATTATATTCAAGAATATTTTATTACTGATGTAATCCAGTCTGTCAATACGTAAACTGGAAGCCTCGCAAAGCGTTTTCTCACGTGGCTTAGCGCATTGTTTTCTTTACAAATGAAAAGGATAATTGCGGACGGGAGATCCTGCCTGAAAAAAAAATAATTCTAACGATCCTGCCCTTTTTTTTAATCAAAGATGCGCGATTTTCTCATTTATCGTTCAAATATTTGCTCGTTACGCATGAGGCGCACACGCACCTCGCAGCCAAGAAGGAGCGTTTCGTGAGAAAAAGAGGCGATCGTTTCTCTCTCGTTGCCGCCGGTAAGTTACATGCCGCACGAAGATGCGGACAATATGAGCCCGCCGAGATCCTGGCCGACCGAGGAGCCAGCGAGCGCGGCAGTGAGGCTACTATCTTCGATCCTCGACGAGATAAGGGGAGCGTAGGAGCCGTGGCGGGACCAACGGCGAGGATTATGTGTGGTGCATCGTGGTGTCTGGCGCGCGGGCCCCACGGGGCCCCCCCGGTTAAGGCTCCTCGAGCGCGGAATATAAAGAGGGGATTGAGTTGTAGCCGCGAGTGGAGGATCTTATGTAGATTCCTTGTAGATCGTGCACCCGATTCGATCGCGATCGGTTCTCTGTGCCCGGTACCGGGTTAATTAAAATTGTAGGAGCCCCAACATCTCTTTCGCCTTCTATCTCTCTTCTTTTCTTCTCTTCCTCTGCGGAACTCTCTTGTCCCTTAGCCATTGCCTCTCTTTGTGTCTTTTCCTCTCTCTCTCTCTCTCTCTCTCTCTCTCTCTCTCTCTTTGTCCGTTCTATTCTCCGCCACTTTCCTCGACGCCGCGAGCGACGTCTCTCCCTCCCCGCTTTCTTTGTATCTCGCGGCTTCTCTTTTTTCTCTTTCCGTCTTCTTCTCTCTGTTTCCCTCCTCGCTTCACGGTTGCTGCAACGCTGCGGCGACCGCATCTCGCTATACATAAACTCCTGCGATTTTCGGCCTCCGCTGCTTGGGAGGCTGCTCACGTGAAATCCTATTACCGCGAGCGACGATGCGGCACGACGGAGGAGGGCGGGGATGTGGCCGCTGGTACCAGCCATTCGAGTAGGTGTCTGGGTTACGAATGGAACGCGAATTATCGACGCCGCTGTCGTGGTAACATAGAGATACAAACGAGACGAGATCGT